GCATTACACCTCCACCTGTCAGAAACTGTGGAAAGTGTCATTTGGTGGCCAATGTTGCATAAAAGTTGTTGATGGATCACTCCGTGTCCTTGCAAAAAACGTATTACCGTCTCCTTGTCATGAACGAGAGTTGAAAGCGCCAGCAAGTTCATTTAAGGTTGTACATCCAAACGGAGAAAAGTTTTGCACAAAATGATGCGGATAAGGAATTGTTTTCATGAAAAACACGTCAAGGTTGTGTGCGTACATTAAATTGGAGCTGGCAAAATGTGACGGGGCTTAACTTTTCGCACATGCACTTTTTGCATGTGTAGCGGGGCTTATCTGGAAAAGATTCGGGAATGCTATGCACCCATAATCACATCTACTAACAAATTCCTACTGTCAAGGACACGTTGGGAAGCTGCGAATGTACGTAGTTGAACAAGAGTGGGAGAATAAATAAATTGAGGAACGGCCTTAATGGCGTTTCGAGTAGCCACTGCGTTGCGAGTTCGAATCGTCACAGGGTTTTGCGGCATGCGCAGTGATGATCTTCCAAACTGTACAGTGTCTTTTAGCAGGGCTCCGATTAACCTTCAAGTAAAATGAACAGTTTACCTATGTTGAAATCAATACGACTAGGAAACATGTAATTTAAAGAACTGCTCTGAGCTGTAACACGCTTTACATTAAAAAAAGGTTTGTTTGAATATGGTCAGCATTTCAGGAGCTTTTCTCTGCAGTCAAGTGACATGCGTTTTTCTGGACTTGAACCAGTCCCCAGTGGAATGTAGATGAGGTACTAAGTCTGCGCTTGAACGTTGGCTCTCAGGTTGCCTGGGATAGCTGTTGCTCAGTAGCATAAAGCAGACAGATTAAGAGCATCTGTGAGGTTTTCTCTGTGCTCGTTCTTGATCCACAACCGTAGAGAATATCATTCTCTATATTCAGTCCACTGCACACGACTTTGAGGAGTCTCCGTGTGGCCAGTGCAGTTATCCGCGGCTCCAATGACACTGGTTGAGTCAAAATTCATGTAAAACACTTATTTCAACAAGATGATTGAAGGCTACCGTTTCCTCAGGCCTCTCTGTTCCTGCCACATTTAGAAGTCCGTATTATGAAACTCTTGACAGATCATCTATGGCTTAAGTATGGCTGCACAGAATGTCAAACTTTGAAAGTGCCGCAAGACGTTTTAATTTTGTCCAGGACAAAGTCTCCAACCGAAGCCCGTAATATTTCCGGATGAATTTTGAGTGGAAATTTCCTGGTCGATACAGGATGTTGGTCGAACGAGGTTCGATGTTTCCCAAAATGTCATCAATCTAAATTTATTCTGACTACTCGAACAGACATTCGCCCGGAATATTCTCGGCTCATTTTCACATGAAAGTTTCAGTATTTTTGTGACTCACCAAAATGATAGAAGATGGGCGCCAGAATGATACACAGAATTTTTGGTATCTTCTTGATCAGGTTAGCATATCCCTTGATCTCGGCTCGGATCACACTATCACTATGAGAAGAGACCTGCCGAACCCAGAGCTATCCATTGTCATTTGCCAACACACCGAATACGGCTGAATGTAAACGATGATCAAAACTCTCCCTAAAATTCTCGGCCTAGTTAAACCTTCAGGCGACATACTAATCCAGCATCCGATTAAGCAACCCAGCTGTGGGAATCTCGTTCGAATCGCGTGGTAACGCAAATAAAGTATGCAGTAAATTTCTTCTAATAGATTGCAGTTTCCTGATTGCGAAATTCACGGAATCATGCACTTATTAGGAGAAAAACTGATAACAGAGAGAGAGAGAGAGAGAGAGAGAGAGAGAATAGTACCCCGAAACAAAGGCCACTCGCAAGGAACGGCCAAATTGGTCGTAACCGGCGAGCGGTCCCTCCTGGAATGAAGCAAGCTGCAGGTACCATAAAGTTAGATAGCAATGAATTAACCTCAACATTCTGAATAGTATACTGGCACGCTGAAGTTACTCTACTATTTTAGGTCCCTTTTTAACATTTGCAAGAGGCAGACGCTTTCTGAATATAGCCACCTTTACCGTCCATGAATTTTCGTCGGTAACGTGAAAGTTGAAAGGTTTTTCACTATAAGGCAACAGCCTCATAATCTCCAACCGGGATGGAAACAGGAACTCCTGTCTGGGTAGGAGCAGTTGGTCAGTATTGTCTTAAATTTCGGGGGAATCTTTCGTAGATACTGGGTTATATTCTTAGAAAGTGTTGATTGGTATCTAGATGAAACTGCCGCAGTCGTTGACATAAAGTACAAAGTCCAGTACGTGTCTTTCAATTTAGAGATTATGTTACCTGGGAAGGACATCAGCTCGGTGACTTCCAGCTTATCGTCAAGATTTCTTTCACTGGTAAAATACTTCTCAAAAAGAACAAACTGGTTCAAGTTACCACTTTCCCTCGGTACTTTGAAGTGGTCATTCTAAGGAAGAAGAACGTATAATTGTGTACTTTTGAAGCGAACAATCTCTAGAAACAACTCAATTCTGAACAAGTTCTTCAGCTGGTGAAAGTGTCCCCTCTCGAGACATCGTCTGCAAGGACCCAGTATAAGTAGTATCTTTTGGCCCTTCTAGGAGGCAGATAACCATCAAACGGACATAGACTAGACCCAAGACAAGCCGAGACCTCAGCTGAGGGATGCTTTTTACATATAATAAAAACTGGATCAGCTGCTGCATATCAGAATGAGAGAACTCAAAACGCGGGACCCCGAATAAATTTTCAACACTTCATGGATTGTATACCTAATTTCCCTAAAAATGCACGATAGTCTAGTGCAAAACTTGACATCCTGAAAGTGATCTGAGTCACTGAGTCATTTAAGGTGGTCTGTGCCCAGATCTGGACGTATCCTCTGAAAAAAAACATGAATTCCAAGACACAACTAGCTGGCCCTGTTTAAAGGTGTCCTCAGTGAGGAGAGGAATAGGACTCTATTTGTATACTTAAATTATGTGTGGTTCCATAATCAGAAAGCAACACTGTTTGTACCACCGATGCGTCTGCTCACCAGCCGATCTCCGATTTAGCTTGTTCAAGGGCTTGAATCATATATGTTCTGGTGACTGCCCGTAGCAGTTTATACACATTCCCCTACTTACTGTGCATAAGTGTGTTTGCCGGAGTTCCATTTCTGGGAGGCCAGAAAAAGCCCTTTTCACCGTGACGTTCTCTCTTCGGAGGACCATGGCACTTGGTAGACGCTTTCATCCGGGAATACAATCGATGTAGCCATGGCTGCACATGCCATGCGAACCTAGAATAGTTCTCTTTAATAGTCATTAATGGTCCTAGAATCAGTACATTTTGGTGGTGAGGGATTACATAGTGAAAGCCGCCTCAATATGCCCTGCAGTTCTACCACACCATGGTTGAATCCTGCTGCGATTAGAGCTGAGGACGGCAACTGAAATTCGTAAATCTTATCGTAGAAGAATACTGATCATCGTCACTGCCTATTAATTTTCATAAGCAGGAGTTTATTTTCGAACTACCGTTCCTCAGTCTAACACCACCAAAAATTCACACTCAGCAATTGTGGATACTATAGGGGATCCTAACACCTACAAGTTTTTAACGGAGATTTCGTCTTGTAAGTGAAACCAATGTACGCTGGAAAGCCAAAAAGCACTATACGACTGTTTTATCCTTATTTGGAATCACCAGTGCTTCTCGGCTTCTCAGTATAGATTGGAGGAGTCTCAATTGAAAACTTCCAAGATCTCCTCATACTACTACCAATCAACCTATAAGTAGCTTGAAGGAAGAACGATTTTACAAGATCAGTGAAACTTCCATCTGAGAACTTGTCACTCGAGTAGGCAGTCAACAAATATGACGACGTGATGTGAATTCCGTGACTAGTGTATCAGTGGCACTATATCTTCTCCAAGTGCGGATTAATCACACTGATGATCAGGCGATCTTGGCCGAAACGTCAACTGTTCAAAGCAGAAGCCAGGCGGTTGGGGATTCGAAACTCTCTTGGGTTCGGTGAAATGTGCACGGCTCATAATTCCCAATAAAAAATGAAACAACTCTGGGGTGTTTTTCGGCATGGAGCGATCTCACTTACGGGACAAAATACTGATTGAAAATGACCAAATGTGCCCACGCTTCCATCAATCTACAAATTCACCATAAACGACAGATTTGCAGACCCGGCTACATTTTCCGGTACGACGACCGTATCGCACAGCAATTTTGTGAGGTGGCATCGGTGAAATCAAGATTTTAACTTTGGAAAAAAGGCAAACATTCACGGACTTCCTCGCTTGGCGTGTTCACCAGGTACCAGTGAACGGAGGAAAGCCCTTTGCCGCGGAGCTGTTTGTCACAAAACACCAACTAAATAGTTGCAAACTATTGAACAAGAAAGTAAACATCTCACGTGCAACTTGGTTCTAAAAGCTGAATATCCGTCCTCTTCTCCGATTCATCTAATTAAACTTTCCTGGATATTCATTGACTATCATGCAGTTGTAAATGAATGCTGGAAAGCAGTTCCACAAATGACGTAATAAATCCCACCTCTCATTATATCAAGGCGGAATGACGAGAAAACCCTATACTACTCGCGTACCCCATCAGTAGTATCCACCGTTACGTTAGTAACGGTGTCTTGTAGGAGAAAATCCCACATCCACCTTTTGCTTCAGAAAATCACACGCATAATTCACTTAATGAATAAATGTAGCTTGATAGCCATCTCGGATGTCACCAACAGAAAAAAGTGAAATTTACACCTTTATTGGCGCCTGTTGATCACTGATAAGCTGATTTGTCCCCTTTCTTCTTTCACCTCAAGTCCATGTCAGGAAAGTTCGCAATTTCTCAAATTCTCAAAACAACCACAGCCTCTGGTCAAGATGTCTGCGTGAACTTGTCAAATGAACCAATCAGAAGACCATGGTCAGACTGGACAAAGGTTGACTGCTTGACCAACAGCCAGATTACTTCAGCAAATGAAGTTAGGATGGGAGGCGCACAAAGTTTGGACAATCGGGAAGTTAAAACAACTCCCCCAACCATTTGTGTTTCTGTTGGATTTAATTCTGAAACATTTAGATCCAATTTGGCTCTCATCCGAACTCTTTTTGCTAAAAGTACGGAACAGCCAAAGGATTCGCTTTATTCGTCTTCTAGCACTGCTGACGTGCACGCCACACAGTGCAGCGACGCGCATCGAATTACAAACATTCTGGCAGCGGATAAAACGGACAAGCATTGCTCAGAAAACAGTCTTTCCGGTTTTGTGGATCTGAACAAAAACCTTTGTACATGGCGAATGCAAAACCCAGCTCTTTTGAGCATTCTGCGTTCACAGCTGAGTAGCTGTCCATTCAACAACGACTCTGAAGCTTCACCGGGAGAGGGATCAATCCATGGCAATTCCTACCAAATGGTGAATAAATTAGCAGGTGAGTGGCGGTGACTCTGTATAAGCGATCAGTGCAGTTTTCCAGGTTCTGATTGTCTCCAACACATGGTTACTGTATTTGTTAAGGTTTGCAAGTATGGACATGCGGAATGCTTGTTTAACCTGATCCATGTATTAAAGGAAACTACTCACAAGGTTCCTGAAAACTCTTTGCCAACCTTATGAGTAATTTCCTTTAAGAAAATATACTGCAATATCTCAAATGTCGTACCTACTAAAACGTGAGGCGGCCTGTGTCGCTCAATTATCGTTCGACCTTCCATAATCGAGTTTAAAACAAATAACCTCAATACGTAAAACTCAATAACATCATTGTCTCCGTTCAGTAGCGGAGCCGAACTCAGGTTGTGCTACCCTTAGTGGGAACAAGGAACGCGACAGTCACTCTGGGTTGGGAAGATTATCAGACCATATTGTACACGGTATTCGATTCGGTTGATCGGTCTATCCTTCCTGACACGCTTGCCCCGGAACTTTGTCAGCATGTTACGTTCTTTGTGTTATCAGACTTTCGGACGCGTTGGGGTCTACGGAGAGCTCTCCAGAAGCTTCTGTACACAAAGCGGTGCCCGTCGGGGATACCCACTCTCTCCATTCCTTTTCAACTTCGTGATCGATGGGGTAATGAGACTAGCGCTGGAAGGTCTCCGAAACCCTCGTGTTCAAGTAGCCTGCGAAGAAAACTTCGTTGATCTGGAATGTGCAGACGATATCGTAGGTTTTTTTTGGATGAACCTACCAAAATCATCTCTTCCTTTTGTATGCACTTTGCGTCCGCAAAGCGCAAGGTCATGCTGGTGGAAGTGCAGCCACTGAACACGTCACTTACAATCAAGGGGGAAGCACTCGAAGTTGTGGAGTTTTACATACCTTGGAAGTTGCATTAGTTCTGATTGCAGTGTGACAGATGAGGTGAATGCACGAATCTGCAAGGCTCGGGCCGCGTTTGCTAACTTGAGACACCTATGGCGTCAGAATGGTTTATCCCTGAATATGAAGGGGCGTGTGTATCAAGCTACACTACGGGCTGTTTTGTTGCGTGGCTGTGAGACTTGGCCTATTCGAACAGCGGAACTGAGACGTCTTCAGGCGTTCGACAATCGTTGTTTCAGAACCATAGTTCGTGTGAGTTGGTGTCAGCGAATCCGTAATGAGGCAGTTAGAAAGCGCAATTTCGGTTGTGCAACGGATACTTCCATTGAAGAAT